TCGACCCCTAAGCCCTAGATCTGAACTCCAGAGAGGGGAAATCATGAGTTACAACCAGGTAGCAGGTAGCATCCCATATAATCTTTTCAGTACGTGCTGTTATAGAGGCCATTAATGTTTCGTACCCACCCAGTTCTAAGACATTACATTAAACCCTGAACGCGAACCCCCAAAACCTGAACCCTAAACCCCAAACCCTAAACCGCAGATAGTAGTTTCCATTTTCTTTTCCATTATCGTTACATAATCCCAATATATACCCTAAACCCAAAAACCCAAGCCCCTTAAGTCTCCTGTCATTTTCCATGTTGTTTTCCACTTGGTTCTCCGTTTTTATTACCCGAATGGGTTCCAATATATTCCCCTAAACCCCAAACCCTTGAAGTGGCCTTAGGATTTGATAGCGGGCGTCATCATCCTTGTCAACACGGCGGTGCCTTCGGCAGCATGATACAAGTATGGGTAGTGTTTAGGGTATTGATGACATGCCATGATTTCGGGTTGAGGGCATTGGGTTCCGTACAATACAGAACACCAACGAGGCAAAGGAAGTTCTGATGGTTGTACTGAGACAGGGAGAACAAGAGCAACAGTGGTAACGGCTCATAGTAGCAGAGGCGTTCTTCGTGTTTCGGTTCACCCGTTTTGCGGTCAGTGATGATTCGAGCTCTAACTTGCCCGCTATACTTCTTTGGGCTATAATCTCCTTAGGGTCTAAGGAGACGGCAGCGGGGTGTTTCTCCAAACAAAAGGTGCCCAGCCGCTCCACATTGTACAGAAGCCCAACACCCCTAATCCTACGACCCCGCACATGCCTGTATAGTCCCCCCTAAGTAAATAGAATATGGGGTATATGGGATCTTGTTACAATATACTCAAAGCCATATTCTATCTACTTAAGGAGGACTGTATGCCTGCAATATGCATTCACTGTCGTATTCAGTACATATTGCATCCAATTTTTTTATGACATTGTATATCCTTTGCATGTATATATCTGTATATACGTGTACATCGTAAATACAGTATGTATGTACATATACCGTTATTTATGCTCGCGCATCCGTGAAAACTTCAAAACCCCAAACCTAAATTCCTAAAACAGCGAGCTCTTTTAGGAGAATGCTTGGAAACAGGGATCAAGGCCTTTAGGGTTTAGGATTCAGTGAGACAATATCATGGGCTCCACTTCCACCGCCGGTATACTAACCCCTCTCAGCTAGTTTAGGGTTTTGGGTTTCGGTTCCACCCGAACTAGTTTTGTTGGGGACGAGTAGGATTAATTCAGGGTAATGGTGGGGTGGTAGGGGAACCCATGACAATGCCACTCAAGCTTTGGGGTCCAATCAGAGGTTCAGCGCAAGTATAACCTAGTTCTAACTGGTACCTATACGAGCTGGTTTATGAGGCCCAGCTGGGTTGCAATTACTCTAAACCTCCAAGCATTTGGTTGTTGTTGAATATCACTTTAGGGCGCAGTGCTTTCAGATGCTTACACCACCCTAACCCACTTAGATATCTACATACGGTTTCCTTATTAGCATCCCAATCAGGAAACCCTCAACCGTTTAGGATTCAGGGTGGATAGACGTTTCTTTCGGGCGTGAGCCGAGAATCTCATCCGAGGGCATTCGTGTCACCTCCGCTTTCTCGCAGTAATAACGATAATACGATCAGTAATAGTAAGACACAAAGAATAGCAATGATCTTTATTTAAGATAGTAAAACACAAATACTTATGCTAGATACAACAGTAATAACAATAGTACGATTAATAAGACTTTAAAAACGTCAAGAACACTGATGCTAGGGTGGTTGAGCCGCCGGCTCCGGAGCCCCACCCTGTTCTTTTGGGGTCGTCTTATTTATTTCGGTGGCTGTGCCGGAGACCCCCTCTGAGGGTATAATTAGGTGATGCATGGTGATACACTTGTCTCACGCGAAAGTTTATCACTAGCACGTGCTGCTGATATTGCATGATCTTGCTGTCATTCTGAACCCTCACATTGCAGTCATGATTCCATAGCATAGGTTTTTTTTAACAAAAAGAGGCCTCCAGGAATCCAGGATGATTATGATGATGATGACCGGCGGGATTTACAAAGCAACGGATCAAATATCTGTCCACGACATGCCCCACTCCAACCCTGAGAGTGCTTGAATTGCCATGGGCAGTCATCAGTGGGTCTAAAACTCCTTCAAAGTGGGTCATGGTCATATGAGCTAGAGTCTAAACTCCTTAAAGGGGATTATATAGAGGACTATATAGGGGACCACTATAGGGGCTATTAAGGGGGCTACTAGGAGTTTAGACAGTAGGTCATATTTCTACTTAGTTATCACCCACCCCCGAACCCCAAAGCCTTAAATTCTGCAACTACCAAACCATACTATGCTTTATACACCCTACAAACTAAACGTTTGTTACCTTATAGGGCCACCTTTTTCCCTTAAGGGCACCCTGTTCTAGTCCTCTGCAATTGCAGACCCTGTCCTAAACCGTAAATCCTAAATCCTAAACCCTAAATTATAAGCCCTAAATTATAAGCCCTACATGTTAAACCCTAAATCCTAAACCCTAAATCCCAAACCTTGAACCCTAAAACCTTAAACCCTGAGGTCCTTGTCCTGGAACAGGAGATACGAGGCGACGCCGCAGCGAGGCACCGAAGCTGTGGGGTAGAATAGTTTACTGTATTTTGTGGGTTGTTCGGGGATTACTCTAGGGGTTATTCAGGGGGCTACTACGGCTACTAGGACTAGGAGTTTAGAGAAGGGCTCATGTGAGTATTGCTATGTATTATTTTTGGCCCCCAGTTTGGGAGGCTGGCATTCTGAGAAGCTAGGCTCAAAGTAAATGGATTTGCTGCCCCCTCCTCTAGGCCGACAGGCCCACCGGTCCTGACAACTGCCGGCAAAGGAGGTGTGGGGGTCCGGGACGCAGACCCCAAAAGGGCAAGGAGAACAGAATTTCGTGGCGTTCCCCAAATGGGTGCTACCGCTTCTATTGAAGAGGGCATGCCATGGATGTCGAGGGCCGCATATGGTCAAAGGTTTCGTAAAGTTGCGGCCCCTTAGGGGCCTCAAATTATACAGGGAGAGTAGAAGGGGATCATCTGGGTCCCTCCGGCATTGTAAAGGGGTTATCAACATTCTTCGCGCAGTCCTGAAGGGGAAATTATGCAATATGTTATAGTCGCTGCATCTTCCTAGGACTCTCCTTCTGAGAAAACCCCAGCTAACAAAGCATGGAGTAGTATGCGATAGCAGAATAGAGTCGTATAGGGTTAGTGTAATATAAAGTCGTATGGTAGTAGATTAAGAGGCCTTACAGAAATTCTTCGGAAGCTTGAGTGATTTTTTTGGAATCTCTGTTATGAGTTCCCCGTATATAGTGGCCCCCCTAAACCTTTAAACCCAAAATAAATCCTTAATGACCTCTCAACCTAAACCCTAAACCCTTAATGAATCCTTAATGACCCCTAAACCCTAAACCCTAAATCCTAAACCCGTGGCTGGGAAGAATGGGAGGTGACGAAGGCTATGAATCAAGGGACGCCATCTCGGAAACACCCGAAAATCACCGTGGAAGCCCAAGACACTGAAGGGAGACTAGCTGGTGCAGGGTCCTTTATGGCTGAACCCTCTCTGGCAGAGAGTCTCTACTACGTCATTAAGCCGGAATGGGTTCCAGAAGAGCAGGAAGAAGTTGCAGGAAGAGTACCTGAAGAAGCAGATGCTGTGGATGACGAGTTTCTCAGGGAGGCCATGGATGCGGAGATTGAGGAAGCTACCCAGGCCTACTACGCGGATTCACCGCCGCCAGAGAGAGAGCAATCTGCGGTGGCCATCGTGGCGTCAGATGCAGGGTTTCAGTACTACCGGATGTGGCAACAAGGGCTAGTGGAAGATGGACATGTGGCATGGCGATGGGGTGCGGAAGTTCTACGCCTCTTCCACCAGATGGGAAAGACCGATGACCTGCACCTTGAAGATGTGGAAAGCCAAGAGCTTTCGCTGCAGGCGGCGCTGAAAGAGGAGGCCGTGAGCAACCTGTGCCAGACAGAGGGGGGACGTTGTCAGCAAGACCGCCGAGGGGAAGAACCACATTCGGGATGCAGGAGGGCATGCACTTGCTACGGGCATTGCTGGTGAGCAAGGAAACCTACTAGGGGAAGGGGCCAGGGTTAGCTCTCTCAGTGGTGACAACGGGCGACACGGAGGTTGTTGCAAGTCGGGGACTACCACAGGATTCAGGACAAGGTGCAGGACAGGGAGGCCCTGAACATTCGTTGCTGGATGCTGCCTGGGCTGACGTGGGCGGTGGACGTGCTGGATCCTGCTGAAGTCTGTACCACGACCACTACTGATGCTGTTGTAGCGGGGCCTGAGTGACAACTAGTCAAAGTCCGTTGCTGCACATGCCATTTGAGCCATAGTCTAAACTCCTTGAAGGGGGTTATATGGGGCATTATATAGGGGACTGACTATAGGGGTTATTAAGGGGGATACTAGGAGTTTAGACAGTAGCTCATTTGATGTCCTTGAGGTCTGAGGTTGGGTGCTATGAATTATGTTTCCGGCCAGACGGAAGTCACTTTTCGGTGCAGGCGGAAAATGGACACGGTGTAGGGTTTAGGGTTTACCCTAAGCCCTAAATCCTAAACCCTAAGCCCTAAACCCTAAACCCTCCGTAAATCCTGGATGGCTACTTTGACGAGGTGGTTGGAGGCCATGGTGGCTGGCACCCCGAGCCCCACAACAGACAGACCCGCCGTGTCTTGACAGCAGCAGAGGCCTTGAGCTGTCCGGTTTAGGCAATGGGTAGTATAGGGCTTAGCGCTTCAGGAACTTAAATTAAGGTACCATAATGGGTACACATGGTAAATAATGGGGTTTCCCCAAAAAAGTAACTTGAATTAAGTTCCTTAACAGCAACCCAGTATGATCCCCTTGTCATCACTGGGTTTCCCACAGCGGGAGTGAGAACAGCATCTCAGGTGCTTACTTTTCTCGAGTACGCCTTCCTCCTCTTCTACGTCTTCGAAGTTGCTGGGTTGTTGTTGAGGAACTTAATTTGAGTTACTATATTGGGGAAACCTTATGATTTTGTATGTATATACCCACTGGTTGCTGTTGAGAAACTCATGATGATCAATTTAAGTTACTATATTGGGGAAACCTTATTCTTTCTATGTATATACCCATTATGGTAACTTAGTTTCCTTAACAGCAACTCAGGTGGTGCTGAGAGTTGGCGTGCTGAGAAGAGAGTGGTTCTACACAACCGAAGATGGCTTCATGTGGGGCGGCTTGCCCTCTGGTTTAGGGTTTAGGGTTTAGGCAAACTACTTGTTGCGAAAGGTTATAGTCCCCCTTAAGTAGATACAATATGGCTTCGGGTATACTATAATAAGATGCCCATATACCCCATGTTCTATCTACTTAAGGGGGACCATAACCCTGGTATCAGTGTTTAGGGTTCAGGGTTTAGGGTTTTAGGGTTTAGGATTTAGGGTTTACTGGGTTGCTGTTAAGGAACTTAAGTTAAGTTACTATATTGGGGAAACCCTATGATGTACTATATATACCCATTATGGTAACTTAGTTTAAGTTCCTTAACAGCAACCCAGTTTAGGGTTCACGGTTTATCTACTTGGCTATTGGAGCGCCGTGAAAAATCCCAAAAGTCAGTCGGAGTGGTCTATTGGAGGTTCCTTAAATTCGGATCTTACAAGGAAGCCGAGGCCATAATTGTGATCCATTAGGCTTTAGGGCTTAGGGAATTGTTGAGGCCCCATACAGTAGTCTTATTTGTCTGTGGCTACCTTCTGCCGATGGCTCTGCTAAGGGGCCACAATCCGTATGAATGTCTAGGTAAAACGGTCAATTCTAAACCCTATGGTTCCCCTTAAGTAGATGCGATATGCGGTATATGGGGATCTTGTTATGATATTGGGCAAATCCATATTCTACCTACTTAAGGGGGCGATAAGCCCTTGAACCATTCCCACAATACTGCAGCTCTAGAACTACAGTCCTTTGTTTTGAGCCATGTTGAGGGTCTAGGGAATAAAAGGGTTTTCTTATTTCTCACGCTTCCATCCGAGAATCTGTGCCTCAAGCGAGGCAACTACGTGGATGCGCTGATCGTCCTCTTTGGCGTAGCAGATGTGGTAATTGCTCTGATGATTAACGGCGACGCGGAAGGCCTAGAGCCTTCGGGGTTTTGGATTTGGCGCTTAGGGCTGAGGGTTTGGGGTTTACGGGGTGTAGAGCGGTCAGGAGCTAATCGTTGTAGAGCAGCTTTGGGCTTATAGGTGTTGTTCGCAGTAGGTCCTCAGTAGGCTTTCCTTGCGAATCCTGCCTTCTGACACATAATTAAGTGCAACATGAGAACCCTAAACATTAAACCCCGAGCTCTACACGGTAGAGAATCAAGCCAGAACCCTAAAGCCTACACTAAGAAGCCTCAACACTCAAGATGAGATACGTGAATGGTACAATCAGATAGATATACCAATCCCCATAAGGTTGAATGCCGAAAAAAAATGACTGGAAAAAGCCCTAAGCCCCAAACCCTCGTCCTGGGGAACTCTGAACCCTAAATTCGAAATCTTCAATCCGCACTCCAAAACCTAAACTGCCTATGCGCGTGCCATGTCTTCTGAACTTTTTGGGGCTTAAAGTTTAGGAGTTAGGCTGTAGGGTTTCGGGTGTAGGTTTTAGTGTTTTCTGAACCCTATAGGGTTTGTTACCATTGGTTAAGGTTTTGGGGGGCATTTAGAGCTTGAAGGTAGACATTTTGAGACCAAGGAAAATTGAGAACCCTGAGTAATGCTAAGTTTATATGGGCTTGAGGGTTTAGGTTTTAGGGTTTAGGGTGGGATGGAGGGCTTGGGGTTTAGGTTGAAGCGGCTCGGAGTTTAGGTTTGTGTGATTTAGGGTTCGTTTCCACCCAGGAGCAGGGGAGGAAAATAGAGGTTTAAGGTCTAGGACCTTGATATAGGAGTTTCCCTGAAGTGGAGGTACCGTTTTAGGAGTCCCTACTTTTTTGTGGGGGTTCAATCCCTAAACTCCTTAAAACCTTCAGCCCCAAAGCCCTAAACCCCTAAACCCTAAATCATAAACTCTGAACCCCTAAACCCCTCAACCCCAAACCCCCTAAATCCCCAAACCC